AATAGCGATCGCTGGCCGTTGTCCGCGCGTCTCACTTCCAGTCTACCCAAACGAGATTCGGTGGCGCCAAGCCTACCCACTTGCGCACTTACATTTCCGGTAACCACAAAAATATTTGAAATCTAAGTCCGCACCAAAAGCGACGCTAAAAGTGTTTTGAGAGTACCAGAGTTAGATTCTGTCGAGACTAGATTAGATTAGTTTAGGTTAGATTCTGCGGCTACGATGAACAGGTAGGAAATTTTAGTGTTTACGGGATACGCTACGAAGTAAATGAACCACACAGAGGTGACTATCAGTGGGCAAATTATTCAAGCAGACGCCCTTCAGCTCGATTGCGAAACCAGCCGCAGCAGCCCCAGGGTTACCAGAGGTGCACAGGCTGAAGCAAAAGAAAACCGATGGAGAAGAGCGGGTTCATAAGCGAGTTATTCCCGTAATACTAGGTGAGTGAAAGTTCTTTTGATTCAATAGATATTAAAAATGGCCACCTTTGTTCGTGCTTCGGATCAAACGCAATAAAGGAATAAAGTTTTAGGTGAGTGAAAGTTCTTTTGATTCAATATATATTAAAAATGGCCACCTTTGTTGGTGCCTCGGATCAATCGCAATAGAAGAATAAAGTTTCGACAAATACACTCCGTTGCGGACAAATACACTCAGTTGCGAATCAATTTGCTTTTTTTTAATGGAAGACAAACATAATCTCTCATTTATGATGAGCCCCAAGAAGGGCGAAACCGGCTGTCGAAGAGTTTTTAGCAACTTTGTGAGTAGTTTCATTAATGAAAAAGATTTAAATATTGAACTGACATACTCGAGCCCAATGGGGGTCGGTTAGCTAATAGCGTGAATTTCAAGAAAACTTCCTTTAGTATGGATATTTCAATCGAAAGTACCCAGCCAATTATGTCAGTAGTCCTATTTGAAAACAATCTGTCCAGTCGTTTCTTACCTGAAGATTGAACCCACCTTGAGCTGAATAGAGGTCGTGAAAATAACAGTCCAACTACGTGACGTAAGTCCACAGAAATGAAATCAAAGTACAGAAGCTCAGCAATAAACGATGCGCACACGAGGGCTATCAAAGTTCAATGAGGCGGTGCGATTTTTGGGTGATTTTTACATTCTCTGAGTCTAGTATTGATTTTGCTGTATTGTCTAGTCTAACAGCTGCTCTGTTCTTAGCCTAAGGCGGCTTTTTCGTTTTCTGTATTCTATCGGCTTTGGATCTCTACTCTGATTTTTACAAATCGACTTCAATTAATGACTGTCGTTATTCACGTTGCAGCACATTACACCCACGTTGGTGCACGGTGGGATTCCTGAATGGCAGTGCTTCAGTTGGTCACCCAATATCAATTTGTACTCCGCTATTCCAATAGTAATGTAATGCAGTCCATAGTTACTTGGTCGCCTGGTGTTGATTTGGTTCCCCACTTCTGGAATAGACGCAAATCGATTTTACGCCCAAGTTGGCTTTGATTAGTAGCCATCTGGACATGGACAGAGTTTTCCGAACGTTGAATTCTTCAGCATGGAACAAAAGAGGTACCTAATGAACTCCACAGTTTGTCCGACTCCTAACCAGATTGGAATAGCTCCGACGTTTGGATACTTTGGGCTGTCAAAAGGGTAAAGTAGTGATATTAATGACATCCTAGGTCTTTGCTTGTAGTCAGCAGACAGCCATAAGCTGAAGGGTTATTTCTGTCACCGCGGATAAGGTTTATGGCATCACACTCGTCGCGTGAGTTGCCACTTACTTATGCTCCTCATCACAACTAGGATCTTCAGTATTTCTCCGTTCCTTTGAGTAACTATTTTTTGTTGTCTTTGGGTTGACTGTCGTGAACAAAAATTAACAATCGAAAATCACATTGAGAGGAAAAGTGAAGATCCTGCCGACCGGGGTCAAAATGGAGAATGCGAGACTACTCGGGATAGGTTGTCGAGTTCGGGGACGCAAGCTCGCTAGTGGCTGCATCATGCTCCAAAAGCATGAGAAAGCTCTGTCGACAATCGAAGATAATGACCTGGACAGAGTACACAACAATATTCAGTTGGTATTCCACTGAGCGTACATTTGGCCTGCCACTCTCGTGCATGTTTGCACTGTTCACTAAACCCATAAGTTGGTCAGCTGACAGATTCGACTGACAGGGGCAGCTGTAGTAAAAACCAAATTGTACGGATAGACTTGTCGGAGCGAAGCATATGAAACCTTATATTTGCCTGACATCACTTCGGCGACAAAGTTGACGATGAAACAAAGTGAGAGGGTGCTGCAAACGTGCGGTTGTTTTGTTTATGCTGTAGTCGCATAAGAAACCGTTCAGCTGTAACAACCCTTCGGTGCCTAGCTGCCATGCCACCCGAGGGCTGGGATTCTGCCAGGTTACTCAAGCGTAGACAGGAGTAACCACATAAGACCAGAAACACACTACACTTCCAAAGTAAGTGAAACTGCTGACAGTCACGAGCATATATACTGCTGTGTAGATGATCCTAGTATTTTCAGCATAGTATCATAGCAAAGTTTCACATTCTGTGGCTTCAAAGCACATTCAGCGGGATCTACCCCCTTTCCACGTAAAGTGTTGAGGAATGGTGACACCCCCATACTCATGACCAGCGTGCCATTTAGAGGAAGCTATGCCCGCACACATTTGGAACACTTCTTATGATATGCTATCACTCACCTAACTCAAGTAGAAGAGGCGGCGCCAGCACCTTTGGTAGCTCCCACATGACGTGGTGGAAGTCGTGCGAGGACACAATCGACAGACAGTTTTCGCTCATCAGCAAGGACATTATACACTGACTTGTCACAACCTTTGGTAGCGAGTAGATTTTGGACTCAAACGGAACCGATGCTATCTCCATGTTGCGACGGAGAATCAGCGAGGTTTCTACTATATTGTCACACGTAATAGTTTTGTTTTTATTAATGATCGTCATAAAGAACAGTGAGCTGCGTGGTGCATGTCAGGCCGAACATACGATCAACCTTCAGAGGTGAGCCTTCAAGTTTGACCACCCAGATCCAACAGGCTGGTAAATCTGCTCCTAAACCGTGAACACTGGCTAATTTGATTGCTTGGTCACATCCGCGTGATCAGGCTAACTACATCCCGTCCGTCGCACCCGAGACTGATAAGTGTGCTGGCAATAGTTCATGCGCCGCACAATGACTCAATGGATCGCAGACTCACCTTCCACCGAAAGTTGTGAACTTTCTGCAATATGGATCTGACAAAACCGAACAACGTTCAGTACAAAAGCATGCAGGCATGCTCCGAAAAACAATCTAAAAGCACACAAAAACGGAAACATATCGACTGAGTTCCGATGTCCCGCGGACCGTCGCAAGTTTTTGAGCTGAACAGAGATACCAGTGATCTTCACAAATCCTAGAGTCAGGACGCCATATGGCGAAAGCCAGTCGATCAGCAAAAAACAACCAGAGATAGCAAAAGGGATCTGACTGGGTCAAAAGAGTACATGAAATGAACTTTTCGTCAACATTATTTACAGATGTGACTCGATTTAACTTATTAACCGTTCCAAAAGGTGCACCTTTGAATACGCAACATAGCTACAGTATGCGTCGATTAACACAAAGCGTCACAAAGTAACCCACTACTTCTGCTTTAGCTAGCCCTCCCCAACATTAAACAACTTGCCGTTATTTGTGAGTATAACACCACCCTAAGTATTTTTCTAAAATTTCATTTGAGTCCAGCTAGCCGGTACAAAAATGGCTGCTTCGGTTTGGAGGACGGGCTTCGACGACAAGAATGCAGGTACGACTTGCTGATTGATCCGTAAATCTAAGTTCCACGTATTCAAGTTAGAACTGACTAATTTCATCATACGCGGCTGTTTGCCACTAGAAGCATCCCAGTGCTTCCAGGAGGCGTGTGAGATGTCTCACATCGTGCCGGGATGGTCCTTTTCTATCATGTGGAAAATGGATATTTGACGGCATGATGAGGAACCGTACTTAATCTGGGTTGTGAACATCAATTAAGGTCATGGTATGTACCAAAAACCGAAACCTGGAGGTAGAAATTTTTGGGTGTGAGAGAAGTCACCATAGGATAGACGTAAAAAACGCAGGCAGATCCTGACTCGAATCCATGGCCAACACGTGCCAATTTCTCGGCGAACGATACTAAACTGTGGCTTCACAAATTCCCAGGAGACAGTGCCGAGGAATTAGGGAAGCATTCATGACTAAATCATGCCACCACTCCTTTTTTGGGTGACAGACTACGTCATGGTTGACTGTTTTTGTTACTGGACCGAAAAAATCGATAAGAAGAAGTGGGGATAAAACCCATCTCAAACAGTATCTGCTACATACTCTAAATGTAACACATATAAGGTTGCCAGTGATCGGTTTCGCCTATCTTGGGGTTCATCAGGTAGGCGCAGTAACCCCAGCTTCCACCAGCCTTGTGGTTTGCTTGAACAGCACATTCAGTTGAACCGGACTATTATTTTAAAAAAACTGGAGATTCAGCTGGATGTTTTAGTCTCCCCTCGAAACCAAATTCGTGTAGAAATGAGTGAATTCGTCGATGTCTGCTACATATTCTTAGTTACCGAGTCACAATGGATCGAGTTTTTATATTTCTTAAGGATTATATGAAGAGTTGCTACGAGACAAATTGCACCAGAACCACAGCAAAATACCCCACTCGGTGCGTAGCAAACATTCCCGGGAAACAACAAGGCAGTGTATTTCAACGAATCAAGAAACAAGTTCGCTAGAATTTACGTAGCGTCGTCCCGGTGGATCTTGTCCCGAGATTTGGAAACAAACGAGGTCTTCTGAAAAAAATGGGGATAGTTTTCGGAAGGGTATGGAAAACGGTGAATTCTCAATCGGTTCCAAATGGAGGTGCTCTATGTGAACTTTCTCACTTCATAGATTTGAGGGAGAAGAAACAGTGCGGCTGTAGAGTTATATTTAAATCAGATGACATAACAAACTACGAATACAACCTTGGTGAAAATCTTATCGTTTCCATTTTGATACACTTGTGAAGATATCTACGTAATTGTGACAGTAACTTAACCAGTTCACCACGATGTGGACGCAAGCGCTGGGCAAAAGCTTTGACGGCCAAGCGAAGCCATTCCAGACGTTTGTGACCCAGCGTTGAGCGAATCCCGCGAATTATGCATACTGTGTGAAGCGGGGATTAAAGCACCTTATGCATAAGAATCATCATAGTTTTGTTACTACGAATACTGTTAAGCAGTTAAGAACCCAAATGAGGAAAATCGAAACGGATTGTTAAAAAACAGAGCTGAAGCTTCTGTGCGCCATCATCCGACTGGTTACCTTCTGAGAACAAAAAGCGTCCAGTTTAGGAGACATGGTTATCTCTCTATGGTTGATAAGAATCGATTTCTATGGCAGAAAGATACGGCATGCTTCTAAACGGTCACGATTGCAAATAGTCATGTACACGGGAGCACTCCATATTGTGTGGTATACAACCCGTACAGCTTCTTATCCGGATCAGGTGCGCCGAAGCCTGTCTGACCGAGATCTGGGATCCCCCAAACACAGGTGTCGGTACGGCTCCTTCTGCAAGTTGATTGACGGGACTCGACAGCTTGTTGTCAGGATTCCGTGCCCAGAATTCAAAGGAAGTATGGATTGTAAGAGACGCCTTCGCCAAACTGTTACCCCAAACATGCCCACCTACTTAAAAGACAAAGAATTTGGGACAAAGTGGACATGGTCGTTGTAAACCTCATTGAAAGGATGGAAGAGCCGCTGAACTATCCTTGATGTCAGTTACAACTGGGAAAGATGGCCCAAGTGGCTAGAGAGCGAGTTTACTGACCGAAAGGTCCGTGGTTCGAACCCGACCTCCGCCTCTCGACTTCCCATGTCTAGGCTTAAGCAACCTGGTAGTATCCCAGCCCTCGCGCTTCCTTCGGGTGGCATAGTAGTTAGGCACCGAAGGGATGCTATAGCTGAACGATTTTGCTATAACTGACCACAAGAGCGAAAATGCTCCAACCCTTGGGTAGATATAACGCGCCCCC